ATTATTTTGTTGCTACTTCATTACTGTAATTTTATTACTGTTATGCATTACAATGTAAATATCTGTTTTCCGATGGTCTTAGGTGACTTCTGTAAAAGGGTGATTCAACCCCCCAATGAGGTTATGACCCACAAGTTAAGAACCACTCCTATAGTGGTTGAATTCTGCCCAAGCACCTTCCAAATCATTCAACCTAGGAAGTGTTAGTACCATTTTATCTGCTTCAACCATCTTATCAGAAGTCTTTTCTCTCTCTCTTTCTTTTTGATGTGTATTAAGACTAAAGTGGAAAGTATTGCCATAGGTCATGTGTCCTGGAAACCATGAAGTGAGATATAAATAAACACAAAAGTAGCAAGTATTCTATTTCTGTGGAACTATTTGCAGAGATCAGAAATTTACAGGAAATAGAGCTTTTAATTCTGAAGTTCCAGTCAAATTGCAATTATGTGTATGCTTTGGGAAAACAGGAAACCTGATTAGATATACCCAAAAAGATACTCTTCAAATCTCAAGCAGTACCCAGTACATAGTGGGTATTAAGTGTGTATTTCCAGAATTGATTATCATTTGAGTGATTTACCCACCTGAAATCCTGTTCTGTGGTTTTATTTAAACTGGTTGTCAGCATGGAATGACTTCTGCATTCTCTCCTGGAAGTGGGTGAATTTCCATGGTGAGCAATTCCTCTATATACAGTTTGCAAATCATTTTGGGAACCTTCCAAATGAAAGGCACTGTATAAATATACCCTCCCACCAGCAGCCAGCCGGCTTTCCACCGGGGATGCATTTGCATCGCTTATGTACATAGTGTTTCATTTGGGGCATTGCTTTTATTTTTATGACCATAAAAGAAATATGCACAGTATGAACAATAATGTAAACTGCATTCACGAAGATATATATTTGTGTATTTTTATGATTCAAAACTTAGAAATCTGAAAAAAAGCAGCCATGGCATTTTTCCTTCCTGTTGTTGTTTGCTTTTTTCATAGCATTCTTTATTATTTCCTAACATTATGGTGGAATTTTGCTGAAGCGTTCAAGTCTTTGTGTGTACCTCATTTGAGAATATGTGGTGGTGGGCTCAAATGAATGTTGCTGGCAAAAGGCCTGAAAATGGAGGGCACTTGATTGTGCATTTATTCACGTCTGTAATAATAGTTTGCTTTCCTGCCACGTTTTTGTGCATGGAGGCCTCTTTAAGAAGCAAAGGCGAGAAGGAAGAAACCTCAGGTATAAAGTACCATCTAAGTAACTTAGCATGATAATGGTGACTTTCACGGGCTTTGAAGAGTTGTATTTTAGTCTTTATAACAAAAGGGGGGTTGATTTCATTCAGCATTACTGAGAAGTTAGACTGTGAATTCCCATCATACAGAAAATGCTTATTGAACTTTGAAATAAAATGGCAACAGAGTTAAATGAAAACCTCTGCAAACTGTGTTTATACATGTAGAATCACCTACATACAAAAATGAACTGAATTATAATTTACTTTATAAATTACCATAATTAATTAAATGTGAATTGAGTGAAATAAGTCACTCCAAATACATTTCTAGCTTTGAGGACCTACTCTGAATATGCATGGTAGTTTTTATATAATAAAGCACTTAAAGGGGGCTCAATAAAACTGTTCTCTACATCTTGGAGGTATGGTTTAAAAAGTGGGACATTATACTTCAGATACCAATATAATTCTTTTCCACTCCTTACTGTTTACTTTCATAGACACTAAGCTTAACATTTTCTCACTTATTACCTCTAAACAATGAATGTGATTGTGCTTTTGTAACCTCAGCTATAATATATTAATATCAAGAAACTGCTCACTCAGTTTGTTTTTTGGCTGAGAAAATAGATCTTATTGTATTCACCTCAGTCACCTTAGATACTATTGTATCTAAACTCTAATTTCATCATTCTACTAATACAGAACTTTGTTTCATTAATGTTGTAAAGTATCTTAATCATCTTTTCCTTATTATCAGAAAATAGAACAGCAGTTTCTTCTACTGAGAAAAGCTACAAGCATGGATTAATCTGCAGCCAGTTTTTACTACAAACCCCATAATGCTTTGCATTATAGCCTACAATCCCCATAATGCAGCACCCAACTTACTGTTAACTATCCTGTTACTGGCAAAGACAAGAACATTTAAGAACTATATAATGTGCGAGTACTCTACTCAAATAGAGAACTCCTTTTTCAGTGTTTTGAGATTTCCTTTGGTAAAACAAAATAGGAAACTTAATGGTTATGCATACTATTACCCCATTCTGAATATATTATCACATATTTGCAGTTTATCAGAGTACATACTTTTCATGTCAAAGCACTTTTTAAAAGGAATATCTTACTGTGTCACCCAATAGCCTTGAAATCAGTGTGTAGCTCAAGCTACTTTGGAATGTATGTCCTCTTGCCTAAGCTTCCTGAATGGTGAAATTTTAGATATGTTCTATCATACCTGGCTTAAAGTCTTCTTTTTAACACCCATCATGGGTCCTGGGTTTGTTTCTTCCCCAGTGTGGGAAGAGGTCAGCCATTTCCCGATTTTAAAATAAAATCACAATATATTGTTTAATGCTTCAAACATCTGCAAATGAGAATTCAGTGAAGTAATTAAATTTCTTAATTAGATGCACCTTGCAGCTGCTGTTCGTCTTAATTGGCAATAATGCAGCCACATTTTGTTCTGACACATATCTTCAGAAGAGTTAGAGAACTGAAGGGAGGCAAGAGGAAAATGTTCCCACACAGTTCAAGACAGTTCGCACAAAGAGGATCCCATGGCAACAAACAGTGAGGCCCACAGTTGGCTCTGTAAGATCCAGGAATAGACAATGCTTCACCTCAGATTCAAACAAACACTTCCCGTTCTTGATCTGAAGAGAAAGCTTTGAAAAATCATCTCTTTCAATAGGTTTGGAATGGTCCAATATTCACCTGTGTCTTTAAAGCACTTCTCCAGGCTTTCTGATGCTCTCCGTAGCCCATGTCAAGGTAATATTTCAAGTTGTGCCCTGTGTAGGTAACAAACTGACTTGAAGAAACATTGCAAATGCAGGATTTGAATTTTCACTCATGCAGACCTGAACCACACCTTGGCAACAGGTTCATTTTAACTACCATTTTACAGATAAAGAAAGAAATTGAGGTTAAGAAAGATTAGTGATTCCTATGGATAATTATGCCAAGTTAGGAATAGAATTTTAGCTCAGATCTGAGCCTATAACCTAAGACTTGTATGTCTAAACTTTGCTTGAAGCAACTAAGTGTGTTAATTATACCCCCTCCAGTACATTGGAAGACTAGTTCTTCACTTAAGTGGGTCAGCAAAACGACTGTGCAACAAGGTATAGTAAAAATGGATAACTCACTAGGAAGGAGTGAGAGGATTTTCTCTTCAAACTCTAGCCTTGACATTTTTCCAAATTGTAGCATATGTTGAGGGTACAGGCAGAAGAGAGCCACATACACACTAGAGGTTAGCCTGGGTTAAATCCCTTCAGAAAAACCATGTCAGTCTTGAAAATTCACTAGCCTTTTAACACATCTTCCCTCACCTTGGTTTATGGTTTACAACTTCAATTTAATTGACATTCCATCAAAATACAGATTGGCCTTCCCTTTCTGTTTCCCTGCCCTCATTCACCCTCACCTGTGCCCTGACTTATTATTCTAGCTTCTAATTAATTTACCCCCATTTTTTCAAGTGCTTCATCTACCTCCAATTTGTGCTTCAGTTCCTGAATTATATGAAGACAGAGTTCGCAAGGTCCAAGGTTGCTTTGCCTATTTACTTTTCTACCTTTGGTGTATCTTGTGAAGTCTTCCAGTTAAAAAGCTTGAGGAAAATCTTGTTCAGCAAGTTAAGGTTTTCAGAGTTGGCACTGCAGTGGGTGGATGGGAATAGCTCAAGTGTGGGGAGAGAGAGGGATGGTGGCAGAAAAGCATTTATCTATCTCTCCTCTTTCCCTGTTTACTCCATTGTCAGAACCTAATGCTGAGGCTGCAGTGTAAATACGCTCACTTCCCCAGGGGCTTGCTACTCTAAGAGCAGTATGTAATCTGACAGCATTATTACAGTCCACGGACCAGCTTATTAGAGACTCAGGCTCTCAGGCCTCACACTACATCTACAGAATAAAAGTGCATACATTAAAGTCTGGGAATCAAAGAATTAAGAGTTTCATAACATCTCAAAGTACAAAGGCAAGGAACTTTAAAATAAGTAACTCCCTTATTTATCTACAAGTACCTACTTTTGTCCCTCATCCCTCAACACAAATCCGTTTCAGAAAAATGCAGCGAACTCTAATGAAGTATGGGAATCTTTACCGCTTGGGAAGAGGATCCTCTTCAATCTCGTCCTACCAGTTTCTCTTCCCACTCCCTTATCCCCTTCCCTGCCCCCCTCCGCACAAGGGGAGCCCACCACAATCATTCTTCTCCCAAACCCCTGTCTCCATGGGAAGATTTTGCTCCTCCACAAACTGAGGCAGCTCCTGCTGGGAGGGTAGCTGCCTGAAGGATTTACAGTTTACATACCAATACAGAGAGAGTGAGAGAGGAGCACTTTGCAAAACTGCCCTTTAGGAACGATTATCACCTCGCCACCTGAGACACTGAGCTGTGTTTTCATGTCACCACCACCCACTTTTTTAATGGGAGAGAGAGAGAGAGAGAGAGAGAGAGAGAGAGAGAGAGAGAGAGAGAGAGATCGCGCGCTATAATAAATCTTCAAAGAGAAAAGACGAAAGGAGGATATTATGAGTGTGTCCGACTAGGCATCGCTCTCTGTACCTTTCAGCTGCCTAGAAAAATGTAATCACAATTCTAAGGTGGCTAATGCAAGCCTGGGTAAACGTCCAATTGGCTGGGCCACTTTTGCCTTTTAGGACAGATTCCCATTATTCCTTCCAGGGTCCTTTCCGAAAGGTTCCCAGGCTACCGTTCTTCCTCTTCGGGTCTTCTGCAAACTAAAACTCGCAAAGCGGTGGCTGTCTGTGGATTGGCTAGTACTAAAATATCCATTGGGTGGCAGTAATACTATCCTCTTTATGACTTGCAGCAAACCAGAGAATGCATTCAATCAAATGAACCGATCTTGTAGAAACACTGGAATCATTTATGCATTGCAGTTTCTCTTTCTTGTTTTCGCTCCTTCTTCTCTGGGATATTTTGAGTGGATTCTGGCTATTAATCAAGATCTCGTGCTGTTCGCGGTTTGCTTGTCGTTTTCGCTCAGGATTAGCATCATTCAAGATAAACGCAAAGCTGCTTCCCCCCACCCACTCTCTTTTGAAAAATCATTTTTGGGGTCTGCTGAAGAGAGCTAGGACCCAGGAGACACCTTCCCAAACAGCAGGGGTTGTGTGCTTTCACATAGCAGTACTGTACAAGGAAAACCCCGTCGGATCTGTTATTGCGGGATACTTGTGAAATACACATAGGATTCTTTCTTATGGCTGCATCCCGGATCTGGAAATTTTACTTGGGGACCAGGAAGATTTGAAAGGCTACATGTATCCAGAAGATTTGCAAGCAAGACTCCGATTCTTGTCATAGAGCTCACAGACTTCTTCACTTATCGTCCGTTTTCCTTCTTTAAAAAAAAAAAAAAAAAACCAAAAACAAAAAACCAAAAGAACAAAAAACCACACATTTAAAATTTTTCTCCTCTTTTTCTGATCTCTCCTCCTTCAGTCTCTCATTTTTTATTCTGCCTATTCTTTTTTTCGTCCTAGTATTTTTTCCCTTTCCGTGCTCTGCACCTGGATTGTATCGTCACTAAACAATCGGGCACTTTGAGAACTAACTGGAGACAGTCTTGTAGGGAAGATCTGTATGGAATTATCTGCTTTTATGGTGAACTTGGCATTTGTGAATGGGTATCTTGTTCACAATATTAATTGCTAGCCAAAACAAGAAAAAGAACACAGGAGTAAAACGTGGATTTTTCTGAATACGCATTGTGATGACCAGCAATTACCTTACCGACTGATATCCAGAGGAGAATAATTTGGAAGACTGTTGTGGGTAAGGTCATTTTTATATGTAGACCCATCAGTGGCGTGAGCAAACTTGGACGTCTGTAATGGGAATGGGTGACTTGGATGATTGCTGCATCGCATTGATGGCTGTGATGTGGCCGTTATTGGCACTGAATGGAATAACTGCAGTTGGGTGTGTGTGTGTGTGTGTGTGTGTGTGTGTGTGTGTGTGTGTGTGTGTGTGTGTGTGTGTGTGTGTATTCTGAGTATAACTGGAAATAAATCAAAGAATTACTCCCCAATTATTTCGGTGTGGAAGGGAGTCTTGGATTAATTCTGGATAGACACTCTTTGTTTGGATGCAATATTTGTGGTTCCTGCATTCTGGAGGGATAGCATCGGTAAAAGGAGCACTTACTGAAGAGCCCATTTCAAATGAAATGCGCTACTCTTTATTCTTTAAAAGAAACATGTTTTCAACTCAGTGCAGCATTCTGCTGCATTTCCCAGCCGCAATGGGACCAGGGATATCCCACTTGTCAAGTTCCTAAACTTTAAGGTGATAATCATTGTTAATTGTTCTCCAGGTTCTGGTTATTGGAGATAATTAAGTGCTGTGGACTACTTTTCTATTTATTCTAGTGGATTATCATTCAGGGGAAAAAAAGAAAAGACTGAAATGATGAGTAAAATAGAGAATAATAGAGCAATATTATCTTAAATATCACCAACGTACATTCTTTCCTAAGTTTGATTGCCCAATAATTGAATTATTTACCCAATACCCTAAATAGCTGAAGCTACAACCCACGTGCAGGGGAGTCAAAGGTCTGGAAGTGGAGATGATCCTTTTATTGCAATGCAGCTAGCTTGGAAAATGCAGTCAATTACACACTTCTCTCAACCTTAAGTTAAGATGTGTTCTATCTGTTATTTTACCCTTTTACTAAAAAGTTAGAGACTACAGCACTCAGGATTCTTAAGCATATTCTGCCTGGGAAATGGGATAAAAAAAATCGATATTGATGACGTGGTTCAGTGCACTGTACTGCAATGCTAAAGTCCCATATTCAGTACCTACGATGAGAGAATGGAGCATTTGCATGTGTTATAAATCTCACCTGGTAGATTGATCTGAAGGGGAGGGGAGAAGATATGTGGATATGTAGGAAGATGGATGGAAGTCGTGCATAATCGGTGATTATGTAACTTCATTACATCAGTGAGCTTCAGTCAACGATAGTGAGATGGAATGATTGTATAGAGAGAGCCTCCATCACCCTGTTAACTTTTGAAGGCTTGTAACAGCTAACAGAGGAGGAGGGCAGACAGAGATTAGCTCCAAGGGTCCTGTAAACCTTGATCTCTGCGGCGAATTTAACATGAGTTTTCTCACAGTGAGTTTCTGAGGGCTAGAAGATCATGTAAGCTTTAGGGCTGGATGGGAGCAATTTTAGCCACACCCGTGGAGAGTCAAAATGTGTCTGCAATGTTTCACAAGTGCCCCATTGAGTCTTTGGGGCTGATGATTCCAGCCAAGGTCATAGTTCTTTTCCCTATGGTTGAAATATATGACCTCAACTGAGTGGAAAGTTAAATCCACTGAAATGACTGAGGTAGACTGAAGGGAAGGATCATTTAGTGTCCCCTCTTGCATTTTTCCTGGTAGAGCTTGATGCAGATTTCAGTCTGGTGGTTCCCTCATAAAAAATGATGATTGCTTCCACAGTGTGTCAGAAATGAGTGCTTCTTACCTTTATCTTTGCCATGACAACCTCGTTCTGGGCCATTTTAACCCTCAGGGAAATAGAGAAGTACAAATCTTTAAAGGTAGCAACACCATGTTAAATTAAAAAACAACAACCCAAGATGATTTCGAATTCATTGTTAACACAAATCCTAGAAATCAAGAGCAATCTATTTTCAAGTTTTAGTTAATGAATGCCTTAAAAGACATGTTGCAGTCATTGGAGACTTTTACCATGAGATGAGATAAATGCACTGTGCTCACTATACAGAGGAGGGAACACTGCAGAAGAAAATGTCATTTTCCTTCATGCTTTATTTGGAGCTGTGCTTTTTTCTTTTTTCTTTCTCTTTTTTCTTTCTTTCTTCTTTTCTCTTTTCTTTCTTTTTTTTGAAGCAGATGCACATCAGCTTCTTAGGCCTTCCACTGTTTCAGGATTTACCCCCCACAAGTAGATCACACACACACACACACACACACACACACACACACACACACACACACACACACACATGAAAGCTGTTGATATTCTAACCCTGGCCATTTGAGTCTTATCTAGTAGTTCTAGTTCTAATTTTCCTTTGCATTTATTTTGCAAAGATGGCTAAAAGACTTTCTGGCTGAGTGCTGAGATGATTCTTTCTGGTTTTGTTTGATTTCCTGCATTTCATTTTGGTGAAGTCAGGGGTAGGATGCAGAGACTCCCTAAGTAACTTTGAAAAGATTTCCTCACCTCAAATCAGGTGGTGGGATTGTGGAATGAAATTTTGAGGTCTGATATTTGAGGTGACTTTCTTATTTCTGCAGGACATGCCCAAACACTGATATATTGTGCCAGTGAATTTGGAGGTTTGGTGTTCATATTGTGTAGGAAATTGAATGTGAAGTTAACTCCTGATTCCTTCCTTCAGGGGTCAGGGTAACACTACAGCTGCTTCCAGGCTGGTAGTCTCCAGCTACGTGCAGAAATACAGCCTGCAATGATATTTTTTCCTATATCCTCAATTTTCACATTGTATAAATGACTTCCTCAGTTGTTTTCTGGCTTACACCACACATATGTTGCCCAACAGGGAATCTTCTTGAGGTTTTCTAATCCTAATAAAGGATGGAAATAAATATAGACGGGAAAGAAGTCTGTTTCAAAAGACAGAGTGTGAACTCAGTACATACGTGTGATTGCTAACTATTTGCCTAAAGACTACATATACTCACATCAGGACAGATAGTTTCAGACATTTTAATGGCTACTTGTAACCTGTTACTTTCTTTAGGAAGATTATGTAATGAAGGTACTTCATAGCATTGATATTAAGTATCCTACAAATCAATAATAAATAGTTTTGCTTAATAGGAAAGCATTTAAACATGCAATCAGTGAGTAGTGTAACATATAATGTGTATTTTTCTATTTTATTGCCTTTTAAGCTAAGGTCATGTATTTTATTGCTTTTTTTGAAGCTAAAATCATGTACATATATTAGAAAATTTTGGGTAAAAAACAACTACCATTTATGATATGAATATGTCAGCTACTGATTTCTTTCCTAATAAATTACTTCAGTAAAATTGGGAGATTTAGCAAACAAGTAATCATAATATTCCAACAAATGGAGAAAATATAAATGACATTTTTATTGCAGTATATTTGAACACATCAATGTTATTTTAAACAGACTGATAAGTAAAGCATTTTCTGAAACTGAAATTTGAGAAAGAATATTTATATTTTGAAATTTTTTAGATTCTTGTGTATTTACTGAAATGTTTTGTATATACTTAGTATTAAAATGAACATGATCTTGACAGTTGAGAAATTTCATGTTTTCATAAGGAGGGTTACTTTATAATTTGTAACAACTAAGGAAGTATTGATTATTAAGATTTAAATATAGCAGGTTTTCTGGTAATGCTGAAGTTATGAAGCATAATTATAATTTTACTATTTGAGCAGATATAGATAAGGTCATGTCAGCATTTTTCTTATTAAATTCCAGCCCAATTTTCATTAGTCATATCAGGAATCTCAAAGAGAAAAGAATCCACTTGTAGGAGACTGGGTTGACTCATTTTTCCTGACTTGTATTTCAGGCTCTGTTAGTTAGGACACTTGTACCCTCTGACACTACATTTGACCTGCAAGACTTCCAGAGAGCCATAAAAAATCGAGTAATTGCATGTTGCTCTGAATAAAGGAGACAGTGTGTGTCTAAGTGCTTACCAATATGCTCTACATTAAAAACATATGCAAATATTAGGATTCCCCTATCTTATGAATTTTTCAGAATACCTTTTTAGTGTCCTAATTATAAACCTTTATAGACATTTTCTAGTATCTATTACTATCATCTGATAGGTAATATCATTCTGCGATTAAACAACATAGGTAAATGAAAAGCTTTTGATACAAGATCTTACTCACCATTCAGTTTTGTTTTTCAGGGATACTCATAAGGGAATATAGTTGTCTTAAGTATTTAAAACATAATTGCATTTGCATCAACTTCAAAAAATTTTGTGTGGATACTTTAAGGAGATAATTTTCTCCCAGTTAATGCCCCTGAGTATATAGGATCTGTTTCTGGCAAGAGGACTACACAAACAAATGCTTACAAACAAACTTGATGCTACCACTTGATTTGGGTCAACTAACCACAAAGCTACTCTCAAGGATCATTTTATTTACCAAAGTATATGGGCTTGAGTACCCAGAGTAATAGAGGAAATGAGAAAGGAAAGGCACCAGTACTGTTTGTAATTTTCTAGTTGCAATAATTACTAACGTTCTTTAGGGGGAAGCAATCCCCCATGTGTCACTGCTAAAGCTGCATTTCTTTAATGCCTGCATTTTAACATAAACATATTCACACATATGAGGAAGACATTGTTCATTATCTGAGTTTCAGTATCTGGTTTATGTGGATGACTAAATAGGTTAAGAAGTAAGGTTTTTTTGTTTTGGTTAAGACAGAAGTGGAAACTGTAAAAATCCTGTAAAATACAAATTAGTGTTCATGAACTTAAATAACACTTGTGTTAAAATAGAACCTCCTTTCAGTTCCAGATTTTTTTTGCTTTTTATGTTAAAGATCCTCAATATTTCTTTATTTTGGATAAATCTTGTCATGTATATTTATCTTACTTCGTTGATGCCTATAAATAGCAAGTATTTCTTTGCTATCCCATATTTAAAATATATATCTGTGTCATGGAAATATTTCAGTTATGATCTAGCAGGTTTGCAAAGGAATATCATAGAAATGTAAATAGGCTTGTTTATTTGACAAATTCAGTTAATC